ACACAAAATATCGCTGGCCAGCAAAAGTTCAAATAAGATCACTGAGTAAAAATATCCCGTTTAAAGGCCTTAAGTATTCATGCTGATTCTTAAATTCAGTATAATCTAAGCATGTTCCATCTTCCAGTCACCCATGAAATGAAAGTCCCTTGTAAACCCACATGTTGATAAATTAATTGCTGCTACATTTTCCTAACACAAGGAAACTTAAAAACCTTTTATGATTCAGTGTTCAAAAAAAAAAAGTTTAACATTGTCATGGGAGTTTGGCTTAACAATTAACATGGCTCAGTAGATACCTGATTTGATTCCAGTTCTGTTTTCTTTTTTTCCCCCCCCTTTATTAACAAATAAAGGAGCAAGCAAACACATTAATGAATCTCTCCCTGCTGGGTACAAACAAGTCCCATATAGTCCAGACATTCGGATGTCCCGCATAAATGCTCCAACAGCCTCATTTACGATTGCAGATGGCAGCTTTTGCACTGATGTGGATAGGCTCTGCTGACAAAGACTCCTGGACTGAGAGTTCAGACCGGTTCTTTGCTGCAAATGCTACGTACAGCCCCAACCTTCCACCCATTCAGTACTGCTCTGCTACAGCAGCACTCCGGATAGACCAACTAGTATGATCACAGCCTGCACGTTTCCATTATTTTAACGAATACGTACCATAGCCAACGCAAAACGACTGCCCATCCTTCACCTACCTTCCTGGAACAAAACAAAATACTTTCCAATTTTTATGCCTAAACAACAAAGCCACATCCATTGCAAAATCCTTCCAGTGGAAGGAAATTATGATAAGCTGGAGGCTTGTGCTATAAAGAATTGCATAAAGTTACAGGATGAACTACCTACACAGCAATAAAACTCAGCTTTGATGGAGCACGCTTAAGACTTCAGCAGCAGCCTGGCTGCTGAATCAGCAGAGATCACTTCAGTGTAGCTAGTAATTCCTGTCTGGAGAATGCATAACACTTGTTACTTTATTACTAACAGAACTTCTTAAAATACTATTTTAGGTATAAGTTGTGAATCTGAAGGAGACTTATTCACTGCAAACTTCCAGGCAGCACTCAGAATCAAGAACGGGCAAGAAGAGTTTTCCTGGCACAGCCCCTTTTGGTATCGCTCCCAATCTGCATGGGTGAATGAACCAGCACTGAAGTGGTAATTCAGCATTTGTTGCTAAAGAAATGCACTTAGCAGATCATAAATTCCTGGTGAAACTCTTCTGTGAGCACCTAATCTACTGTATTCACAAGGGTGCTCCACCTTATTCCCTGCACATTAATAGTGACTCACTCATATTTCAAGCATAAATTCAAACAAATAGTCTTTCGGCTGAGACAGGCCAAAAAATAAGAGAGCACGCAAGCTTAGAGGTTGAAAAGCAAAAATATTATCATTTATACATTGGTCTTGAAAATTTTGAGCACCTGTGACAAATACATTTCTGTTGCCCCTGACCAAACTCAGCAGGTCAGTAATCCCAGCAGACACGGCAGAAAGCCCAGCCTGCCTTCCCAGGGGCCCTTCCAAGTTTCTGCAGCCCTGAGGTTTCAGCCTCATATTTCTGAAACCTCCTGGACAAGAGACCCTCTCGCTCGCCCTCTCATTTAAAGGCCACTACAATATAAAAACACCTTGCCAGTTCCAGCTCAGTTTTCCTAGTGCTTCAAAGGGAAGCTCGGCTGGGCCCAGAGCTGTTACCCAAGAGCTGCTGCATGAAGGACGGGAGAAACTATCTTCCTACCTCAAAGGAGGTCCCTTGGAAGGTAACTATTTTGCTGCAGTTGGCAGCAATTTCCATATGCACAGGGGTCCTAGCTTGAAGTAAAGGAGTGAGGAAGAATACAAAGATGTTTTCCACCTCTCTCTTCTTAAAACATTTTATGTCCACACAGAGCCTGTAGCACCATGACACTATTGAATAAAGAGTGACATTTCTGCCTTAAAAGCGGCAGCTGGACCTGCCCCAGGAAAGTATAGGAGGGCTGAAAATCTAAGAGATGAGTGGGATAACGGAGGTAAAGCAAAAACACAGTTAGCTGAAAACATGCAGCTCAAGCAATGTGAACGTGTGATGAGTAGAAGAGAGAAGAGACATGTTAACGACCGCTGGCCACAGGCATCTCTAAAGGGACACTCACCCGAGCTGGTCAGGCAGAGCTGCCTAAACACGGCTTTACTGCAACCACACGTGAGCTGGCAAATGTAGAGCCAGGCCAGGTGCTTCTCCACTTGCAGCACAGTTGATCATTAATGTAACTAGTTAAGAGCTGGAGGTTAACCACTGCTATTGCCTCCCTGAAACCCTCCTCCTTCCCTCAAGTTATTTTTGAGAAATAGCTGTGAGCTCCTTGCTCTTGGCTCAGCTTGTTTTCCTTTTCCACTTTGAAGAATCCACATCAAACACGCGCAGAGGGAGGGAGGCCAGGCCTTCAAAGGGTCTCGGGAATCGACAGCACAGAGCAAGGTGAGCCAAGGTGAGAGACGGGAGCTGCGGAGACCACAAATGCAGGATATTTTCTTACCAAAATGAAAAAATCTCCATGATAAACCATGATACTGATTAATAGCCACGGACGCTATAAAACTATCACAGGAAAGCTCAGGGAGGAGGTAGGGGTGGAAAGAAGAACAAAGTGACACAACATAGCTTAGACAGTTCTGCGGCCAGACCGGTGTTAGACTAGAGGCTTAAGTTAACTGGCTGACAATCAAGCTGCAACATTAACGTCATGTTCATAAATGCTTCCTGTTGGCAGTGACCTTAAACCAAGTGCCCAGAGCAAAGCTTCAGCTCTCCAAAACTTTACAGCAAGTCATATCCAGAGGTGAACTTTGAGAAGCAGAGTCATTCCTCTGAGGAATGCATTTTGTCTTGCACACAAAGACACTGCTGTGCTGGGGCTAGTTGTGCAGCATGCCATAACAAGGAAAAGCAAAGAGGAGTATGAAACAGTCATCAGTGGCAAGAATCATTGATGTTGCCATGTAGGCTTAAAAAAAATACAAAAAAAAAAACCCTCCTACACATCCAAAGTGAATGCAGAATGAAATCATTGTAAGAGAGTGACGGCATGGGATGTAGCCTCTTCCCCTGCACGGCCAGGCAGGATGCAGGCTGAATGGCTCCGGCGTCTTCGCTATCAACACACACAGACCAGGCTACGTGAGCAGCCCTGCCTTCCAAGGATGCTTCATAAGGAAAGCGTTGCCTACATGGAAGCCAAGTAACAGCATTTGTCACAGGCACCCACTCTATAATAAACTGCCATGCGACTTGGATAAGGGAGCATTGTTTCATTTCCATTGCTCCAGTGCAAAGCAGCCAGCACGTCTGTCCTCCTCTGGGAAGCAGTTATCCAGGGAGGGCTTAGGGGAGGCAATGGAAGCAGAGCAGAGGGCGAAGAAGAAAATCTACAGCAACAAGAACAAACAGGAAAAAAAAAATCAAGATGAAAAGCACTTGTAGTCTTTCAGTTAAAGGCAACGACCCGTTTCTGGAAATTAGATGCACATCTCTGCATATCTCCTGAAAGAAGTTACCATATGTTCTAAAAGTAGGATATAATATTTGAGCTGTAAAAGCCAAATCAGCTTGAGAAACAGACGGCATTACAATGCTTTAGCAGAACAAGCCCCACATAACAATATGCCGACAAACTCATTTTCTAGAACAGCACTAGGAAAATATTTGCAGAATCTGCAAGACATTCCCTAAATACAGCATCTGATTCTTCCAAAAAAGTTGAGGGGGCGGGGAAGGGACATACATGTCAGTATTTGGGGATTCTGAGCAGCTATTTGTACTCTTTGTTTTTTGCTTGCCCTTCTTCATAATTTAAGCATTGGTAGCGGGCTTTGGTGCTTTTTTTAAAATCTGACCTCAAACTCCTTCAGCAGTCTAGCTAGTCCCTTCTCATCCTTGCTTTTCCTTGATTGCTGGAGGGACAAACTCCCATTGCCCAGCCAGGGCACCTCTGAATACTAATCACAGCTTTATAGGCTTTCCCTCTGCCCTCACTGGCTCCCAGGCGTATGTCAATATTAACGGCCCGATTGACAGAAGTACCAAACACATAAAATCTAACACTAAGAAGAACCTGTGATGCTCAGGCCATAACCACACACTAAATGCACATATTGACAGAACGCTAGAATTTTGACCTTGTTCTGTTTTTGTTTTGGTTTGGTTTTTTTGCAAGTTTCTCTTTCCAACCAGAAATTTTGCCTTCTCAAAAGTAACCCACCAGAAAAACATAAGAAAAATCCTGTCTCAAAGTACCCGCAGATGGACAGCCCATTCTCAGTGTGACTGGAGGACACACGTTCAAATGCACTGGGGTCTCAGTAAAGGAAAAGAAATCTATTGGTCTCTTTCTCCAGTACAGGCATTTCCGCAGAGGACCACAGGCTCATCTTCCAACCTGCTCTAGCAGTTCCTCAGAAAAAAGATCAGCCACAAACAAAAGCAGACCAAGACCTGCTGTGATATCACCGCAGCAACCTTAGGTCCTACTCCTACTACATGCTTTTCAGAGTGCACACATGACACTGACCTAAAGGGGAATCTCTCCCTTTAAAAAAAAAAAAAAAAAGCATGTTTTCTGGCCATACAGAAGAGACACCAAACCACTAATATAGAGTACGTACATAAATCATACGGGCAACTCGCTTTGTGATTTAGCAAGTCAGGCTCTCAAAGCTGAAAATAATTACGCGCTAAATCTGTTGGGGAAAAAACATTTAGACAGAAAAATGTGCCTAACAGTTGGGGGCTGCTTAAGCACGCTTTATAAGAGGTGCAAGAAGCCACAAAAATGAAGCAAGAAGGTCACACTGGTTAATAAACCAACCTGGTTTATAGGGAAAGTGACTGCAGCTTTTTCTAATTTCATATGGTAGACAAAGGGAAAACAAGATCTAAGAAAGTGGACAAATTGATTAATTATTCTGACTGCCCTATTTTCATTTTATTTTTAGCCTACCATTGGAACAGTTTCCTGATGGTTGGAGGATATTCTCCATCCCATTCTCCATCTCCATCCATTTCCTGGAAAAAAAGAGTTCAAGTTCAAAGAGGAACTGATTCATAGTAGTTCTATAGTGTCCTGTCTTAGATATCTAATTTCAAAAGACAGGACAGGTAAAAGCTCTGAAATAATGTGAGAGATTCCACAGCAATTTAAAAGAGTTCAGAGTAAAATGATGCAACGTGCTAAATCTTTTCAATTGCTCAGTTGACCAAGAATCTGCACAAGTTCAGAAAATGTCACTAGGAGGAAAGCATCAATGTGTCAATTCTGTTATAAGAGAAGTTCAGTGCACAGCTTTGGGGGGCTCCCTTTTGTGGGGGAAATGGGAATTAAATTCTAAAATAAGATTAAATAAGATTCTAAAGCACTGATAGAATGAATGAGTTGGCTGCAGCAAGCAGAAACTATGGCAGGCCAGGTTGTTAACAAGAGTTTTAATAAAGTACTACCATACCCTATTGGAAAAACTCAATTGTCAGATAAAGTTAAGTAAATAAGGGCAACATCGCTGTTAGCTATTCCACGTACAAGTACGTAAAATAAAAACGATTCAATTCTCAGGGCTGTCTCTTCTATCTAGAGCAGTCCTCTTCTGGAACTGCCATGGTAAAGGCTGCTCAATAACAACAGTTAAAGTATTGAAACCCTCACATTCAAAAACAAAAGCTAAATGAATCAGAATAGCTTTGTTCTCCAACTTAAATGTAATACCTCATATAAAGCAAGTTTGGCAATGAAAAAAAGCTTACCAGGTTCTGTAAACAAAAATCTTTTTTTTTTTGTCTTGGTTGCAAGGTCTTGTTTTCTTAATGAGTTTAAGACTGCCTGTATCATGTTTCTATCACCCTAACTTTTCCCTCTCCCAAGAAACAAATGTGAATAATACAGATGGTAAAAAACACATTTTCCTCAAACAGGAAATATATGTTTATATGTGGCATATAGCAAAATATGTATTTCCAGAGACAATGGCTACAAAATTTAGATTTATTAGCGCAGGGCAGGAATTTTTAATGGAAAACACATTTTGAGGGATAAGAATTTTAATCACAGAGAAACAGCATACAAATGGCTCCTTCAGATGTAAAGCAGAGCAGTTCTGCAACAGAATCAAGAGGACGTGGTCTCTTCTGGAATAAAGGAGAGAACAGACTGACTCAAGCATACGGCAGGGTAGAAGTTTTGCCTGGAATGTGTTTTGATCATTAAAAGGCATTTGTCAACATGAAGACATTCTGCAGGAACACAGCACTTCTGCAGAAATAAGATACAGTCCGGATGGCATCTTTCCAGATTACATCTTAACTTGCCCGACTAACCCTGATCCTGGTGGTGGTTCGTAAGGTTCCCAGCTCTGTCCAGGAAAGCTCTTCTGTCCACATGCCCCAAACCTCTCTCTCTCCAAGCCCCCAGGAAATTCAGAGAATCCACATATTTCAGTTTGATTTCAGGAACCACTTGCCTTATTTTTATCCCTTATCTCATTGCCTCACGCTGCAGCAATAAGCATTAGCACGCTCATTCAGAATGAGTGGACCATTAAAGGCTACCAATATTCACATTAGATCTTTACGGGAGAAACAAAAAGGTACCCACATCCCAGCTGGAGACGCTTGTCAGCAGCCTCTCCGTGGAAGTCCTGAAGTGAAATTTCTTGAGAAGCAGAAAAAATACCTAGCATGGGATGAGCGAGACGAGCATTCAGAGCAGAGGGATCCTTTTCAACCCTGGCAGTAGATGAGGAAAAGGGGTGACAGTAGCAGAAGAGTGAGAGAGAGAGAGAGAGAGAGAGGGACAACTGAGGGAGAAAGTACAGAGGAAGAAGTTGACCAAAGCCCAAAGGGTAAAGTGAAATCAAGATGATAATATGAGAAAATGAGTAATGTTTTATGCTTCTCTGTCTATCCCAGCATCTTGGAAACGATCCGTTTATCTAAAGAGGTAGATTTTAATACAGCCAACAGAGCTCTTGCATGCAGAAGTAACAGAGGTTAGGGACACCTCCAGAATGAAGTCTTACAGATTCCGGTTCAGTTGAGAAGAAAATACAGGGTTTTTTGACTGCTCAGCTAAGCCCAAGTGAAGCCTTCCTTGCGTATCTGCCTAGCCACAGGCATCTCACACTAAAAACAATTAACTGGAAATTACAAGAGTAGAAGTGGTCAAAATAAGAGCTTCCAAGAATTCAAAATGGAAAGAAACACTGGTTTCATTCCCATTGCATTACTCTTTCTAGCAACAATCTTAGTGGCTTTCTAGCATAGCCACAATGAATGGCTTTTATGAAAGATTAAGCAGGGATGAAGTGTTTAATCAAGGTCTGCTGCTGGCTATGGCTTCATAGGATTTTTCCTGTTTTGCAGGATACTAGTATAGTCGGCTGTCTCCCTATACCCGCTTTTGCCATTTAAGCATCGGTTCTGCAGACTCCTGTGGTTCTAGCCAATTTGCAATTCTGCCAGCAAATCTGCATACTCAAATAGCATCTTTATAGTCATTGCTGCAAAACCACCAGCCACCTGATTTCCTAATTCTTTTCAGGAGAGTTCTGATGACCCAGCTACAGACAACAAGATGCAATAGAAAGCAATAAAAAAAAATCAGTGTTAAGTAGCTAAATACTAATTCTTCCTCCTTAACTTTTTAAATTACTATTATTTTTGGAGCACTCTCCTTGTACTTTCGCAGTTGGTTTGCTAACAAGCATTTTTCTCCCCCACTTAATCAAATGCATTTGAAGTTCTTTTATACAGAGATTCTGAAATGGAAAGCTCTAATCAGCTAAGCCTCAAATTCATTTTATGCTTCTCTTTCTTTTGGGAGTACACAGTTAAAGCTGTAAAGGTTCTGCAAAGTGAAAAAGTTTTTAGGCAACACAGGTACAGCGGAGCCCCTTGTACTCAACTACAACTGAAGGAGAAAAAGACTTTGGACCTAGCAGATGATGCTAAATGACCTAGCAAGAGATGCATGGAAGTACAATATGGGCCTCGGATAGCTCCGAAGTGAATATCCCTAGCATCTCTGTAATGCTCTGGGAGTTTGGAAAGCCCTGCTTCTACTGATTAAGTCATTAGGAGTTGCCCTGCTGACTTAAAAGGATTTTGGGTCAGGACCTCCCAGATTGGCAAGAAAAAGTGTCAGACAAACAGCATGCAAAACAAACAAACAAACAAAACAAACAAGAAATCCCTCTATTTATTAAAGGAACAGCCCAGACCACTGCCCAGTTCTTACTTGAGCAAAGTGCGACTTGCAGAATCTTAATCAGGGCAGAAGAACAAAGGCGAAAACTCTGGAAGATTTTAGGTGGGACGACACAGGGCTTGGGCATAAAACACAACAGGTATTCGAGAACCATGGATGAACAGTTCACACAGGAAACCCAGACCCCAGCTCCATCCTGACAGCGGTTGTCCATTTTTGGTTGCTGTTGTGCAGGTTGGGTTCCCTCTGCTACCAAGCCCTGCAGAGAGGCCCTCGTTTCCTAAAAATAAACTCCGCTTCAGTGTTTGAGGTAGGGGACAAGGTTGGCCTGGTAAACCTACCAGAGTTGACATGTTGCATTTTTGCATGCTTCTATCCAGGGAGCTATAAGATTGGATGCCAAAACATTCCTTGGTTTACTTTTGGGGTTTTTTTTTTGGTTGTTGGTCTTCCCTTCTAAAACATAGGCTACTTAATATTTAAGCTTTGGAGACTGATCCTTTTGTGATCTGGTGCTCCCCTGTTGCTACCTTTCCACATCTGCCCAGATGCAGAAGTCTCATTCAAACAAGGTACGCGTGGAGCGCCTCTATAAACACCGCGTACACACAAGCCCACACTGCCAGGCGCGTAACTGGCAGACGTTTCTACACAGGCTGACAATTGATTTATCCACAATTTGCAACCCATTTCAAAGGAACTCAACTTCCTAGCAATCAATGAGAAAATAACCTTGTTAGCAAATAAGCCAAGGTTCTTTTAAATTAATCAGTTCTTTTTCATCCAAACAGTACAGATAATGAAAGAGATGATGACATTTTACATGACCTATAAAGAGTAGAGTTTCTATTTTAAGCTCTCCTTTGGTAAGGGTGCCAGGATGATTATATTTTGTTTACCGGACAGAATAATCTCTTATTTGTTAAGGCTTGAATGTAATTATATACAGTACAAAATTTTATCTTCTATTGTCTTAATTATCATCTGGAGGGTTGGAATGGGAGACGACACCACAGAACAAAATGAATATTTATGCCTTCTATCTGCAATTTAAAGAGAAAGGACTTTGAGCCTTCTCTTGCTTATATGCTTAAAATGCTACATCAGACTGGTGGCTTATATCCCATTTAGGGGTTATTGTTTTCTTCAAGTAGCATGAAGACAGAGAGCAACCTTTGGTAGACTTCCTGTACTTCAAGTGTTCAAATACTCAGGCTTTTCCTCTAATTCCCCTTTATGTCATTTGCTAAAAAGTTTTCAGATGCCTCCTGCTCAGAACAGCATGCAAGGCACCAGCACTGCTGTTCCAGCTCTTTAACAAGCCTCCTTTATGGCCTGCAGCATGTTCCCACACTAGAGTGAAGGTACAAGCAGTGGGCGCCCGGCTTTTTTTCTTTTTCAACTCATCTGTATTCGAATAGCGAGCAAACTCCTGTCTGGAAGCAGAAGGTGCAAGTCCACAGACGGAGGAAGCAAAAGAAGAGAAAGGCACAGTGACATTAGCGGCATTAGCGGGCTTTCTACCATCCTAGAGAAGGTGAAAGTGACCTTATTGCACTGATTTTTAAGTAAAATAAACACATTGCAAGGGCTGACCAGTCCACAGTTACTTCAAAAGTATCAACAGGGCTTTGAAAACAGCAGCACTTACAGACAATGCTATGCATTTTATTTCTCCTGCAGCTTCATCCCGCTGTATCGATGCTGACCTCTTAGCATCTGACAAAGGAAAGACCTGAAAGCTTAATTTTAAGCTTTTTTTAAGAGGAGAAACTGGGCTGGCTTTTGTTTGGGGGGGGGGGGGGA